TGAGAGCCTCAACAAAACTCATATGGACAGTATCTGTCCTTATGTTAGCGGCTGTGTCCGAGGCCATTTTCCCTCTACCATTCCTTCCGTTCCTCCCTGGATTCAACAATGGCTTTAGGGACAACGGTGCCGTGAAGGCTGTGAATGCGCAGCCCGTGGCAGCAGCTGGAAAAGGTGGGAGAAAGCGAGGTGGTGCAATAGAAGCTCAGACCAAATGGCCTGGTAAATGGGAAATATTCATGCAAAACTCGGGTGTATCAGGGATGCATGCGATTCTTATGCCAGTTATCAACAAGGTCCAGTTCTATGACGCTACCATTTGGAGAATATCAAAGGTTAAGCTGCCTCCGAATGTACCATGTCACGTCGTCGATGCCAAGACCAATAAGATCGATTGTTGGGCTCATTCGGTTCTCATTGATGTCAACACCGGCGCCATTAAGCCTCTAGCTGTATGTACATCCACAATCGCTAAGCTTTATTTTATTTTTGTCAACAACATGCATTATACGGGTTTGAATTTGGATAGTAATCCACTAGGTCGGAGAGTGTTGAATTATTTTCTTTTATGCAACTAATTTTCAAAGTCATGACTCGATCTATATTTTTCTCTAAATAGAACATACTGTATATTATTTGAACTTGAGTTACATGCTTTAATTATTTCGTTTTATATGTTCATTACAGCTTACCACGGATACATGGTGCTCATCGGGAGGTCTAACCGTAAACGGGACATTGGTGAGTACCGGAGGATACGGAGGAGGAGCCAACACGGCGAGGTACCTAGCAAGCTGTGACAACTGCGCTTGGGTAGAATACCCTCAGGCATTGGCTGCCAAGAGATGGTACTCAACTCAAGCCACTCTCCCTGACGGTAACTTCATCGTTGTCGGAGGGCGAGACGCCTTGAACTACGAATACATCCCAATGGAGGGACAAAACAACAAGAAGCTCTACGACTCATTGCTCCTCAAGCAAACAGATGACCCTGAAGAGAACAACCTCTACCCTTTCGTATGGCTTAACACCGACGGTAACCTCTTTGTTTTCGCAAACAACCGATCCATCCTTCTAAGCCCGAAAACCAACAACGTCATTAAGGAGTTCCCTCAGCTCCCAGGTGGTGCCCGTAACTACCCGGGATCAGGTTCCTCCGCACTCCTCCCCATCCACCTCTACGTTAACAACCCTAAAGTCATCCCAGCTGAGGTCCTCATCTGCGGTGGAGCCAGACACGACGCATACTACAGAGCCGGTAAAAAGATATTCGACCCAGCATTGCAAGATTGCGCGAGGATGAGAATCAACAGCGCCAGGCCAAGATGGAAGACAGAGATGATGCCTACACCACGAATCATGAGTGACACTGTCATCCTCCCTAACGGAGATGTACTTCTAGTAAACGGAGCTAAACGTGGTTGCTCAGGCTGGGGCTATGCTAAAGACCCAGCCTTTGCTCCAATCTTGTACAAGCCTCGTGCTACCCGCGGAAAACGTTTCAGAGAGCTCGCTGCCACGACCATCCCACGTATGTACCATTCCACCGCCATTGCTCTACCCGATGGTAAGGTTCTTGTTGGTGGCAGTAACTCCAACGATGGTTACAAGTACAACGTTGAGTTCCCAACGGAGCTTCGCGTCGAGAAATTCTCACCACCTTACCTTGACCCGGCACTAGCCAACTTGAGGCCAAAGATTGTGAACACCGCCACACCAAAACAGGTCAAGTACGGACAAAGCTTTAAGGTAAAGGTCAACCTTAAACAACAAGGCGTGACCAAGCAGAACCTCAGGGTCACAATGTTAGCTCCTGCTTTTACAACACACAGTATCTCGATGAACATGAGGTTGCTCTTGTTGGGTGTATCTGCCGTCAACCCCACTGGTGCCGGTTCGTTCGAAATCCAGGCGGTTGCACCGCCCAATGGTAACGTCGCACCACCGGGTTACTATCTTCTCTTTGCCGTCTACAAAGGTGTTCCCAGCACTGGAGAATGGATTCAGGTCGTCTGATGATGATTGATTTTTACCCATTTGTCTTAAGCCGTAACATCTTTAATATGAAAAAATTCTCGTAATATTCAGTTTTTCTTTTCTTATATATTGTATATGCCAACATTAATGGACCCATATTCGTTGTGTTTTCTTTTACCATTTTCCTTTCTTTCAATCCTTGTAAACCTATTCGGTAATTTTTTTGGTTTGTCCTAAATTTTGTTTTGGAGAATTTTTTTTCCCCGTTTTGCCTATTCTTGTTCTTCATGTGCATTTTTTTGTTTGTTAAAACACTGTTTGCTTCATTGAAGAATAATCTTTCATGTTTCATAACTAGGCAAAACGATTAGGCAAGAGAAATGTCCTCAAGAATTTTGCAGAAGAAAAACAAAACATTGCCAAATGAAAACAGATTATGAACAACGAACATGAAGACATAGTGAAACTAATACAAATCAGATGATCTATTGCTATTTCCTTCTCTTTTTGGTCCAAAATCCTGCCTCTATATGGATTCGAGGCTTGGCACTAGATGTCATGTGTTGTTAAATAAGGAACATTATAAAGAGCCTTTCATCAATTCTTCACCTAAACTAAGCAACCACACAATTAGAATATATCTAGGATCTTCTATCGAGCTTCGTTACTATGTTTGTAACGCGGTATATCTCAATGCCGAACGTCTCTGCTACATCTATCATATGATCACACATTTTAAGACATACATCTTTTTACTAGCAACTAAAAATCGACTCTGACACCTCTTTAGGCCGCTAAATGCTCGGCGCAAATGTTCATCGCGAGAACAATTCATCATTACCAAATCATCTCAAGAATGCCTTCTCTAGCATTTGCTGCAAACCATTACAATTGCCTAAACAATTCCATTTTAGGTTTCCGTTCTTAGCTCTATCAAATGCACCGCCTAACTCACTGCCTCACTGGCATAGATTCTGCATCAAACCTCAAATTTGAATGAAGAGAATTCTCATAGAATATGGCAGAAACCTTTAAACCTTAAGCCTTAGAATATCATTCTCATAGAATATCATAGAATGAAGAGATTCTGCATCAAACCTTTAAAGTTTCCTTAAGCACTAACTATCTCTAGTAGAAGAAATGAAAGAGAATTCTCATAGAATATCGCAGAAAGGAGAGTCTTTTACGTAAACCCAAATCACAGATCAGTGGTGCAAAGAAGACCCAACGCAAAGCCAAATCCCAAATACAATAAAAGCCGTACCTAACAAAGCTAGTCCGATTTTAATTTTTTCCCCCAAAAGGATCCCGAAAACGGCGGTTGCGGCAAAGGTAGTCGCGTTCGTGACCGGAACGGCTAGAGAAATCGGGGCATGGCTGAGGAGGGCGAAGAATGTGGCTGAGGCCGATAGATTTACGAGGAAAGGGAGTGAGTATTGCCAAAAGAGGAGGAGATCGATCCAATCACGGAGAGCGATTACGATTTTCCGTATCTGAAGAGGAGACTCTTTTTTCTTCTGAGACTTTTTATTATCCCAGGCGAGAGCGCCGCGGCGGATCAAGGCGTTTGTAGCGCCCCACACGACGCCTACTGCCACCATCTTCTCCATGTCTTCCTTCATTCTCAGCTCCTTTTGAGTTTGTTTAACTCAATTGTGTAAACATGATGGTTATGGTTATCAATTTGGAATCTATCGGTTATCTCTGAACCGGCCTTGATTTTGAATGAATTAGCTAGTTGAAGATAGATTTTGTAGGCTATTCTTGGATCAGCTGGTCGGTCGTACCAATGATTTTGTTCTCGACACTTTAACCCTTGTCCGAATGGAATTATCCACGAGTTTCTCTTTTGGGGATTGTTAATACTTAATACTAGTACCGAGCCGTCTGAAAATTTACATTTGTCCTTTCCCTTGTCATTTTATAGTCCTCCATTATTAGTCCTTGATTTTTTTGTTTTTCTAAAGTCAAAGGTCGTCAAAGAGAAGAAGACCAAAAACAGCCACTTCACTTCGCTCGGAGGTTCTTTGAGATTGCCGACAATCAGCGCCTCTTCATCTCCAATGTCTTTCCCACTTTAAAGGTTTCTTTAACTTTTTTCTTCTTCCTGAAATCCCCCTTTTTTAGCAAATTTTGCCACTAAGGTTAATTTGTAGTGTACTCTAATTGCTCGCAACCTCAAGAGTTCCAATTTACGATGGCCCTTTTCGATTTCCAGTTTAAAGATTGCATTTTTAGCAGAGATCTGGTTGAACACATATTGTGATGAAAGCTCTTATCTTTCCATTTTTTGTGTGTTCTTGGATGTGTCGGCAGCGTAAGTCTCTGAAGCTCGCTCTTAGCAAATATCATCAACTTGACTATTTCTGGGTTTGAATCTGTGTTTGAGATTTGAATGGAGATTAGATCTGAGCTCAGGAAACTTTCCCCAAGTGGAAAGCAGAAATGGCCAATTCTGGTTGTGATTCTGCTTTTTACTCAGATCTTGTTGTTACTTTCATATGGAGACACCTTAAGATATCTTTTGCCTGATGGAAGAAGACTTAAACTTCCCAATGAGAACAACAATGCGTTGATGATGAATAATCCATCACAAAACGCTCTTCTTAGAAACACACTCGCGGTTAACAACGTTTCTGAGGTCTCTGCTGGGATTCATGTCTTGGAGAAAAATGAGAATGTTTCAGGTTTTGGTCTGAGGAATGAGTCAGAGGATGATGAAGGGTTTGTTGACGGTGTTGAGTTTGAGAGCTTTGAAGATGCAAAGGATAGTGTCATCATCAAAGAAGTCGCTGGAAACAGTGACAATCTTGTTCCTTTAGATAGAACTGTAATGCAAAATGAGGGAGTTTCAGACAGTAATAATGGAAATCAGGTGCAAAATGTGACTTCTGTGGAGAGTTCTATGTTAAGTGCAGGCTCCTCCATTACAGTTCCTGCTACCTCAGTGAAGAATCTACCTGTTTCTGGAAATAGTTCCTTGCTTGTTATTAAGAAAGTAAGCAAGAAGAAGAAGTTGCGGTGTGAGCTTCCACCAAAAACTGTGACTACGATAGACGAGATGAATCGGATTTTAGTAAGGCACCGTAGATCTTCACGTGCAATGGTACGTGTTCAGCTGTCCTTTTTATCTTCTTTTGCTTGTGGAACTTTAGTTATTATGCAACTAAGAAAATACCAATGCTGACAATGTAGCGACCGCGTTGGTCTTCGAAGAGAGATGAAGAGATATTGGCTGCAAGGAAGGAGATAGAGAATGCTCCGGTTCTAACAAACGAACGGGAACTTTACCCTCCAATATTCCGTAATGTCTCCATGTTTAAGAGGTAAAGTTGCAGAACTTAGACCTCATGCTAATCTCGTTTTGCTGGTTACGAAAAAGAGCAATAATATATACATGACTTTATGAGTTCTCTCAACATTCAATCTTGTCGTATTTTCTTGAGTCTGATGTGGATGAAAGTTTTGTAGTACTGCTTCTGTAAAATCCGTATCATATGGTTCTAAGTTGACATAATTTTCCATAAAGAAGTGCATTGTGAAGAGGGGGGAGTTCATATAAATACAGCCTCATTATTTAGTTCACAAATTTAATCTGTTTGGTAGTGTTTTCCTTTATAAGGTAATTTTGACATACTTGATTCAGTTATCTGCCTCAGGAGTTATGACCTTATGGAACGGATGCTCAAGGTTTATGTATATAAGGAAGGAAGCCGCCCCATTTTCCATACTCCGATACTCAAAGGATTGTATGCATCAGAAGGATGGTTCATGAAGTTGATGGAAGCAAACAAGCATTACACTGTAAAGGATCCAAGAAGGGCTCACTTGTACTATATGCCATTTAGTGCACGGATGCTAGAATACACGCTTTATGTGCGTAATTCTCATAACCGAACTAACCTACGCCAGTTTCTTAAGGAATACACTGAGCACATCAGTTCCAAGTACCCTTTCTTCAACAGAACCGATGGAGCTGATCATTTTCTTGTCGCCTGTCATGATTGGGTACAAGTGGTCATTTCGTCAATGTATCCAGTCTCGGTTTTACACTTCTTCAGTCTAACGATATACATGATGCATTTGGTTGACTAAACAGGCACCATATGAGACAAGGCACCACATGGAGCATTGCATTAAAGCTCTATGCAATGCAGATGTAACTGCAGGGTTCAAGATTGGAAGAGACATCTCCCTTCCTGAAACATATGTCCGCGCTGCCAAAAACCCGCTTCGTGATTTGGGCGGAAAACCGGCGTCTCAGAGGCGGATCCTGGCTTTCTACGCTGGAAGCATGCACGGGTACCTACGTCCGATCCTGCTACAGCATTGGAAAGACAGAGATCCCGAAATGAACATCTTCGGACGAATGCCTTTCGGCGTGGCGAGCAAGATGAATTACATCGAGCACATGAAAAGCAGCAAGTACTGCATTTGTCCTAAAGGGTACGAGGTGAACAGCCCGAGGGTCGTTGAGTCGATATTCTACGAATGTGTCCCTGTGATTATATCCGACAACTTCATTCCGCCATTCTTTGAGGTTCTTGATTGGGACGCGTTCTCGGTCATTGTTGCAGAGAAAGACATCCCGAGGTTGAAAGATATCTTGTCGTCGATACCGGAAGAGAAATACGCGAAGATGCAAATGGCGGTTAGAAAGGCGCAAAGACATTTTCTGTGGCATGCTAAACCGGAGAAGTATGATCTATTTCATATGACTCTCCATTCTATTTGGTATAACAGAGTATTCCAAGCAAAGCGTAGATGATATATTAAGAGACTAGATACAATGTGCTTGTCTAGAGATGCCTCAACCTTTGTATATATATTGACTCATGTTTTTGGTTATTGTATGAGAGTCCTTGTGCCTCTCGTGGTCCCGTTTCCAGGGCCTATGGACTTTGGGCCCATTATAAGAACCCTACAAGCAACAAATTTACAGTTTCCCTAAAACGGCGTCGTTTTGTGTTTAAGAAGAATTCGCTTTAGACCAATTTCCCCCGAAGCTCGTCTCGTTTGTCATCTGGAGGTGGAACCCAAAACGCCATGAACAGTAGCGACGGCTCACCGGCGCGGGAGGACCTACAATCAATGGAGATCGATGATTCCGGAAGTGTTCTCGATCTCACTAGCTATCAGCTCCACAGTCTCGATACGGTCGAGTTACCGCCGACCCTAACTGAGCTGGACCTTACGGCTAATCGTTTGTCGGGATTGGACTCGAGGATCTCTCAGCTCTCTATGCTCAAGAAACTTTCTCTTCGACAGAACCTAATTGACGATTCCGGCGTCGAGCCCTTGTCTCGCTGGGAAGCCTTGTCCGATCTCGAGGTGATTCTAGCTGTATTATTCTCCCCACTTTTGTTGGTTCTTATGAGTGCTTTGTAAATGGTTAGATAAGTCGATATGGAACCAGTTGGGTTGGCTAATGTTCCTTGTGCAATTCTTGTTGAACGGATACGAGAATTGAAGAGGAGCTAGAAATAGGCATAAATCTCTGTGTGCAGTGGGACAAAGAAAAGTGTTTCCTGATTCGTTTTGTTTTTGTGCAGGAGCTAGTTCTCAGAGATAACAAGCTGGCAAAAGTACCAGATATCAGCATATTCGCAAAGCTTTTGGTTTTCGATGTATCTTTCAATGAAATCACTTCGTTGCAAGGGTTATCGAAGGCCTCTAGCACAGTGAAGGAACTCTATGTGTCTAAAAATGAAGTTAACAAGATTATGGAGATTGAACACTTGAATGACTTGCAGATTCTTGAACTGGGGTCTAATAGATTGCGGGTTTGTACCCGCTTTGATCTTTCTTTTTTTAATCGGTTTGTATTGCTTCAGAAATGAATATGAAAAGCATTGAGATTGGTTTCAGGTGATGGAAAACATGGAAAACTTCACCAGGCTAGAAGAACTATGGCTTGGGAGAAACCGTATCAAAGTTGTCGACCTGTGTGGACTCAATTGTATAAAAAAGATTAGCTTGCAGAGCAATCGATTGACCTCTATGAAAGGATTTGAGGTGTGCATTGTTTACCTTTCTTCAGATATCCTCATTCCTCATACCAGCATTTTACTTTTCTGATGCATGAAAAAATATGTGCCCAGGACTGTATTGCTCTTGAAGAGTTATATTTGAGCCATAACGGTATCTCAAAAATGGAAGGCTTGAGTGCATTGGTTAACCTACGGGTATTGGATGTGTCGAACAACAAGCTCACATCAGTCGATGACATTCAGAACCTCACAAAGTATTTCACCTTTCCCTTGCTTCAGACTGATTTTTGTTTGGTGATTTATTTTCCATCCTGACTTTTACCTTAACCTATAGGTTGGAAGATTTATGGCTTAATGACAACCAGATAGAATCACTGGAAGCAATCACAGAATCGGTTGCAGGCTCTAAAGAGAAGCTTACCACTATCTACCTCGAAAATAACCCTTGTGTAAGTTTAACCAAAATCGAGGTCTTTCGGTCACTTTTCATCAGTTTCTTGTCATGCATTATTGTAGGATCTCCTGTCTTAGTTTTGCTTTTTGATATGGCATGTCAATATAAAGGTGAATAGTGATACACATATGGTCCCATTGCTGGTCTTGTTTAACTTGGCTGTAGTGTCTGCATCTATCAATTCTTTTATTTTGGTGAAACCCAATGTCTTCTGTTATTTATTTCTCTCCCCTGGAAGATTTGAAAAGGTCTCATGTCACTTTCGATCCATTAAGCGGTATCTTGTTCAAAGTATATCATTTTGTGTTGTCTATCTCTTCTCAGGCCAAGTCTTCCGATTATGTTGCTGTGGTCAGACAGATCTTTCCAAATGTGGAGCAAATAGATTCTAACTTGTTTGCTTAAAGAATGGATATTCCTCGTTTGCTCTTTTTAAAGAGTGTCTGCAATTCGTCAGAGTTCAAAAATCAGGTTAAACACAGATTTCTCGAAATACGCATTTTCTGTTGTTTATCACGAAGAGGTGCAAACAAGGGAATCAAATTGTTCTTTTTTATGGATATTAATCGAAGCTTTTGTGTTCATTTGCAAGCAAAACAATACTCAAATTTTTTGGTATGTAACAGTGTGTGGAGGACTTTGTCTGTAAAAGGGAATCCCGAGCCTGAGATTATCTTTGTTTCGACCAACAGTCACTTGAATACTTTGATTCATATCTTTGTAGTTTTTTCTTTTGAAAAGGCATATCTTTGTATCTTCATCACATGTTCGGTACATTGCAGATTTGGCTAATTTCTGGTTATTATTTACAAATTTAATGACTCCTTTGAGAAATACCACCATAGATCAAGTCATATCATACCTTGGGAAGATCGTTAAACAGATAAACCATAAAAAATTGTAAGTGTTGTTATTGTTGTATAGGGAAAAATTGTCCATTTTTGCCTCAGTTCTTTAAATTTTATGTGTCCAAAATATCACGCAAAAAAAACCAGATATGGCTTAGATGATGAGATTGACGAATGAAAAACTGACATGTGTCGAATCCACGAAGGCGCTGATTCTTGGGGCCAGTGATTTACTAGTTACTGCAGCTTAACTTGTAATTCCCGTGCGATAGTTTTTTTTTTTTGGCTTCTCCTCGAAAAACCCTTCGACTTTTGGAAGTCGTCGTCTCTGTCCTTCAGTCACATTCTTCGAACCGGAGACTCAACTTCGCCGTGTATAATGGCGGCTCTAGAGAGTCCACCTCCGGGAACGCCGTCTGCGATGAGACACGCTTTCGGGAACGTTCTCTCTGTCCTCATCCTCGTCCTCATTGGTGTCCTCGCGTTCTCGATCCGACTCTTCTCTGTGAGCTCACTCACGTCTGCTCCTTTGATTTATTCCAGTAGTCTCTAGATCAGATCCTACTACTATAGATCCGACTATTCTAGATCCGATCTCATTATTTGCGATTGATCGGTGTAGCTTTCTTTTCTTCCCTCACTTGATTTGTGCTAAAGAAGCAGATTGTTGTTGTTACTTGTTTATTTGATAACAGAAATGTGGATTCCATATGGTTAGAGGCTCTCGCGATGGTTCAGATATCCCATTAGAGATACTGAATGGTTTAGCTTTTGAGGTTTTCATTCAATGTTTGCTCATAGTTTTGCTTGTTTCATCTCTACTTTATGCTCTCTGCGTAGCTAAGCATCCAGCTTACAATTATGCTAATGCTTATTTCTGTAGCAATTCAATACTTGTTTGATTTTAGTAATCTCATAGTTTTCGTTGTTATTTTCAGGTCATAAAGTATGAAAGCGTGATTCATGAGTTTGATCCTTACTTCAATTATAGAGTCACTCAGGTTCACACTCTTAGCTTTGTGGGAGAGTTCTCATATTCAGGTTGTCGTTGTCTCGCCCTTTATAATCTGTTTTTTGTTTCAGTTCTTATCGAAGAATGGAATCTACGAGTTCTGGAATTGGTTTGATGATCGTACCTGGTAATTTGATGATCATAATGTTACATCGCTTGGTCTTTTTTATTTGCCATCTTCAGTAGCATTATAC